AAGCTCCCCGGCCCCGCGCGGGCGCTTCCGACGGGCACGAGGAGGCTGGCGGGAGCCCCGCGGCGGCTGGGAGCGGGCGGGCACCAGCTGCACCCGCGGGCAGAGCCGAGCAGGGGGGCTCAGTGCCCACCCCCACTGCGGGGAGCTAAAAATAAAGTACCTCTTAGGCCAGACAATATAAGAAATGTTTTCAGGGGAAGTAATTGCATATTGATCAGCATTTAGGAAGGTTGCACAGAGCTGATCTCTGGAATATTCATTGGGTTTAAGTTCAGGCTTTTAGAGATCAATAGCTGCTTGACTGGACTGTCTAGAGTTGATTTTATTTGAAATATTTATTCTGCCAGAGGGCAAGCAGTTTATCTTAGTCTCATCTGTGCTTATTGAGGTAACTTTTAGCTGAACGCTAATTCAAAGACAAGCATACGTGAGTATTGCCGAAGAGGGAGTGACCTCAGCCTTCACACAGAGCCCCGAGTTACAAATTTATTTGCTAACCATTGTTTTCCTCCTTTTAGTACTTTTACACATGAGAAAACTCTTTCGGCACGTTTATCATTTCAGAAAGAAGAGGTGCTAACATTACTGGGACTTTTCCATATTAGCGTAACACAATCTCACTTCCCAAAATACTAGCAAAACCCCAATTCTAGATTTCCTGGAAAGTGCTGCATGAAGTGGCTCTGTTTAATTAACTAGAAGATTTAGCAAAGAGACAGTCTAAGTTTCCACAGGGTCATTAGGAACAGCAGGACAAGAAAACACAAGGATTTTAATAATAGTAAAAAATACACGCTGCAATAGCTGTAAGTCAAGCTTTGGGGAGCCGTAGGGGGTTGATTTTGCTGTACAGGAGTAAGCGCTCTACCGAGGGTCAGGAAAAGCCACGGAATAGCTGCAGAATAGAAAATCGCGATGCCCGTTTCCATAAGGCCCCTCTGCTGCACCTCCCTGTGCACACACACGCGCCTCCGGTTAATAACTGCGAAAGCCACACGTCATTTTCCCTATGCAACGGAGAATCTTCTTGACACATCCCCTGGGAACCGAGTGGCTGCATCTCCTCCAAACCTTAACACAGTTTTACAGCAAAAGCAATAAGCTTCCTGTCAGCGTGCGCAAGGGAACTGACATTACAAGCCTGTTCTTCTCTTTTTTGGCTCTAAGGTAAACTACATTTAGGTTATACCACGGCAAGGCTGAGGGACTGGGTACTAAAAAGCGCTTCCTGACCTAGAAAAAAAATTGAATGTAAATCTGTGTGATATTCATAAACTTTCCACCAGTGGTTACCACCTCGATAAACCATCTTATTTTTGATAGAGACGCCCCATAAAATAAACGAGCCTCCACTGCTGCAGAGATGCAAATCAAATAATTAAATACCCGTGCTTGCATCCTACTTCAAAACTTCCTACCTCACGTCCGCTGTCACAGGCTCCCTCCTTCCCTGTCTGGCCTTCTCCCCCCAGACCCCTCGGCTCTGTGGAGTGGCCGACTGCAAACCCGAGACCTGAGCCCCACGCCCCGGACTGGCTGTGGACACGCACGAGCGGCCCACCAGCCACACTGTGCTCACTTCCAGGCGCCACCACCAGCTCCCCACAAACCAGCAGAAGCTCCCCCAATACAACATCATCCCCCACTGCTGGCCAGGCACTTTAAGGCTCAGCGTAAGCGAAAGGAGCCCCGTTTCCATCGCTGTCTGTAGGATCTCTCCAGCACGTGAAACGCTCAGCTGAAAGCTGCTGTACTCCCCTCCAGGTCTGTGCACGACCATTATTAACAGAACAATCTCAGCACTAGATACAGAATGCTACGTTCTCCGAGACAGTAATGGAGATTCAAGCTTGATATCTTTATTCTCGCACAGCTTATCTATCTCACATCATGTCAATAAACTTTCAACTTTGCTTATTTGTCCTTTCATCCGCACAGGCTATGGTACAATGATTAACCACCTTCAAAGTAAAAACAAAAAATAACAGATCTCTCCCCCCAGTCTTCAGAGAACACCGACAGGAGAGAAAAATATTCTGCCTTGTTTGTGGGCGAGGTGGTCAATCACGACTGCATGGCATTTCTGTTCTACGTCTTCTTGATACCTTCATGATAAACCACAAAGAAGGGCAACACTGCAGCGCTCCAGGGCACACTACCAAGGTTCACTCCCCGTTTCCAAGTGCCAGCCTGCAGGTGCCAAAGCAGTTCTGTCCCAGAAAAACCGAGCACCTGCAAGAGCTTTTAAGCACAAACCAAGAGAACTGCCAGTGATAACAGAGGCTGACAGAATTAATAGCCATTTCATATCTTCTGCTTATTAAAATACGTGAAAACCCCACAAGCAAACAAACACCAAAACCCTGCAGCATCAGCTCTTAGGCGCTTTGCGTTGGTGGTTTGCAAGCTACAGAAACGTGCCCCATCTTCCTCACCGAGGCGCCAAGTCCAGCAGAGAGTTCTGCTGCAACCAAAGCAAGGAGCCCCCACGGCGGCAGTGAACACGTCCCGAGCTTTGCTCCCAACGCAGCTGCCTCCTCCCAGCACCCCCTCCCTGATTTTCACCTCCACAACCAGGGCTTTTCCCTCCATCAGACCATCTCCACAGAGCACCTGACCGCAGCGTTCACTCCCTCACTGCTGACCAAGCGCCAGAACTCAGAACCCAGGAGGTTGGTTTTCACGAGGTGCCCGGAGATCGCAGAGCTCAGCCCCGCGGTCCAGCAGCTCCGAAGATCCGTGTTAACCATTTAAATAACACATACACAGCCACGTCTCGCCAGGCCTGGGAGGGAAGCTCCCCACGTGGGAAGGAAACAGCAGGCGGCCAGCAGGAGCCGCTCCGGGGCAGCGCTGCGGCTCCCAGCAGCCACCCCGACACGTGCACACAGCTTGAGTGTCACCAATCCCACATGCTCTAGGTCACCTGCGTGATCATCGGGGTCAGAACCCTGCAGTGTCACTCCTTAGGGGTGTTGAGACAAAAACAGAATATCGTGTATAGGAATGAACTAACATGTCAACAACACAGTGTCAAATACTGAGGAAAGCTGTTGGCAGCTCTTCAAAAGAGGAAAAACATGAATCTGCAGCAAAAGTACCAGCTTAACGCTTTCAACTCTAGTCTGAGGACACCATTAGAGGCAAGAAGTTTACTCTCTCTGTCCAGGCAGTGCAGCGTAGGACAAGTTGGGCCAGAAGGGAGCTGGTCTGGGGAAAAGACTCAGTCAACTATTGACTTGCATTATTTGTTCAAACAGCCAGGAAAGAACAACTTTTCTACACATCTGAACTAGATTGGGAGAGTTTAAAAAAAAAATAAAAAATCAACTGTCAGTATAGCCCATGTGTATGGAGAGCAGTGCTATAAGCATCTAGAAAACATTCCATGAATTGTTACTTTTTTCCCATTGTCACTTTACCAATCCCATCCTGGCTGCACAGTAAGGTGGTTCCTAAGCATCAGAAGACTGAGGCCTTGGAAACTCCTTCCATTAACCACCAGCAGCAGCTGTGTCTAAGTCAGGCTTTGTCCCTCCTAACACCTTCACAACTACAGGGTCGGGGGGAAATGCATTCAGGGAGAAATTTTCCTCTTGTCATCATTTTCCAGCTGGGATCCTGGTACAGAGTAGTAAACAGTAGAGTCCAAAAATGGGGAAAAAGCTGTTAAAAATCCAAACACTGAGTCCCACCCACATGGCACAAGAAGTGTAAGTAATTAGTTCTGCAAGGCTAGCTCAGCAGCTTAGTACTCAAGGCAGAGGGAGGCTTCCCTCTCGTTCTTAGTTTTGGAGCTTTTCTTTAATTAGCCTCAAGAAAACCCAGAGTTCCTATCTGAATAATCCACGTTTGGTTATTTATTCAGCTCCCTGCTGCTGCGCATTGCCCAGCCGTCGCTGCAGGAATACATCATCTCCTGGGGTCTGCCAACCAGCCAGGCACCAGCAAAAACCAGCAGCAGTTTACTGTTACCAGTGGCTGTTACTGGCCAGCAGCTACTGGAGTAACCCCAGTTCTCGGGAAACAAAGCTAAAGACAAAGAGCAGAGCTTCTGTGCCTGAGAAGGTCCAACTTACATGCTGGGAAACAAAAGAAAGAGAAGACAGACAAGTATAATGGAAAACCACAAACACGTAGCCAGGAGGTGTGTTGGTACGTCAAAAGCAGACAAGAAAAATCAGAGTTATCTGGGTACCTCAGCATCAGATTCATCAGCTGCAGCCCCTCGCCCTTCAGGAAGCGATCGCGATTGGAACTGAGCATCAGGCAGGAGCAAAGGGAGTCAAAGAGGTTCTCCATCATTTCCTGCTCTTCTGCTGTACTAGGGTTGTGTCGTTTAAACACCTGCAGGACAAAGAAAACAAAATCACCCCAGAATGAAGAGCCCAATTTAGTCCACGCTGCCGTAGAGCAGACACGAACATTTTACATCACAAGCCTTCAGCACCCGATAGGCACAAGCCAACAGTCACACACGTGTCTCTCAACTCCGGTGCCCTCTCCACTGCCCTGGCCGTTTACCAACAAACGTGCCGCAGCCTAATGCAGGATTTAATCGGGGCCCCGAAGGGCAAGGCGAATTCCCCGACTGCCCAGTTCACAACAGCACGTGGATAAGCTTCTCACCAGTGTCCTCGGCACGGCGCTCACCTGAGGGTGCTGCAGCCAGTGCCACCTCGAGGGACAGAAGGGAGCTACGAACACCCGACCTTCAGGGAGCTCAGAGGCAGGCACATGCAGTGGAGGAGGCTGAAGACGGCCAAATTCCAACCCTGCCTGCCTCCTACTTGCCATGCAACTAGAACAAAATAGTTTGACTTCTGCATACCTCCACATTAACAGCTTTAAAACAGGGATTAACCTCGTTTACCATGGATGACACACTCGTGCGGGAGCTGTTCAGGGACTATGCTGCCACTAAACACGGGGCACCGCTGTCCTTCAGCAGCTGCAGTCGGCCAGGACAGCGCCACAGCCAGACTCTGCTCCAGCTCCTCCACCCGCCCGCGAGCCTCCCGACGGCAGAGCGGGCGGATGTGAATTACTCACGGATAACTGCTGAAGCAGCACATCGATCCCATCCAGCTCCCCAAGCAATTCTCTGTTGTCTAGACGGAGGTGGGGGGACGGGGGAAAAGAGAGAGAAAAATGAAGCTAACTGTCAGATTTTACAGCCATCTAACGCTGATACATCAGTGAACAAAATCAATACGGCTTGACAGAATACAAAGGCTGCAGAGAGAGAGGGTGCATGCGCACGCGAGAGAGCACGCACGGCGGGGAGAGCGGAGGCGAAGGGAAGCCGAAGGCAGAAGAGCGCTGCTGGTCTGAAGGAAGTCTGGATCCCACCCTAACACAGCATCGACACCACGGCAGGGCTCACCGTCGTTGTTCTGGAGCAGAATAGCCAGCACCTCGCTGCAGTACAGCTTGTTGGCGTCAAAAGGCATCTTAGCCTGTCGGTGAGGAAGGAACAAGAGAGCCATCAGGGCACGGCCCCGGGATTCACTGATTTAAGGAACACATTAATCAAATCACCAAACGTATGAGCAACGCTGAAACCAAAGTACAAGAGCGGTAACTTCGCAGTAGCTGCAGGGACAGAACAGGGGCGATTCTCTCCGATTCAGGGGTCTCAGGGTGGGGGGGTGTGTGCTCATGCACACATGTGTAGAAACTCAGCTCTGATCCTCCACGCTGGCCTATGGAAGTAGGTTTGACCAAGTTGGCTCAAAACCCCTGAGGAGTCTCCAGCTGTCTGCAACACCACATCTCTTTCCTGTGATAAATTTTCCCTGTTGTTATACGAGTGCATGAGGCTTATCCCTATTCTGGAAGTCTGTACCTGTCACCAAAACCAAAATTTCAGAAAATACATCACAATAACATCAAACAGTAACTGCCAGGGTTTTGTGTGAGGATCACAACGTCACAAGCAGAACGTGAGATGGGTTTAGCCTGCACAGTCACATAACTTTCATTTTGTACATTTTCTCCATACTAAATTATGTTAAAAATAAAAAAACTTAATGAAACCAAAATGCTGAATTTGAAGAAAAAAAAAAATCATCCCCAAAGTGGGACTCTGAACTGGATCCAATGTTTTTGCCTGCTGCCAAAGTAGCTTCATCTACACAGACTAAACGTCAACTGATCAGATAATAATGCGAACTGGTTTACTGAAGCAATTCATAAAATAAACAAAAAAAATGTTAAAAATCATCAGTTACCAGCTATTTGTATTCCACTATTCGAGAGTGGGGAAAAAAAAGCCAGCAGCAAGTACTAGGGTTAAACAGGGCGTCTGTGAGGCGCCCTCCTCCCTCCTGCGGGTGGGCAGCGCCCGGCCCGGCTGCCCTGGGCCAGCCACCCGGGGGAGGCCACACCGCGGGCACCACCCAACAGAGACACGAGGAGCAGGGAGATCCCAAACGCCACCAACTACCGAATTTACACCAAGCGTTCCGCTGCCAGCGCTCCCCAGCCGCGCTGCAGAGGAGGGCGGTGGCAGCAGCTCCCGCGGGGGCCGGGGGGGCCCTGTCCCACGGCCTGTGCCAGGAGCGATGCTCCGTCCCTGGGGGCGGCGCACAGCACCACCAACCCTGCCCGCGTGTGGAGTGGCGAGCGGCTCCGCTTGGCGAGGCCATTCTGACAGTCAGGACACGATTACCCAAGCCGAGAGGCAGCCAGCGCACAGGAATCCACGCTGTGCTGCGCGCCAGACGTCCCTGCCGACGCCCAGGCAGAGCTCGGATTTTAAACTCATCCCGCAGACGCGCTCCGCAGCGACGCTCTGCCCAGGTGCTGGGATCCTGGTTTAATCCCAACCACATCTGTCAGGGCGAGACTCGCGGCTGAGCGCTGCCACAGCGAAATGCCAGCCCAGGGTTTCCTCAGGTGGCGGCTGCGCGAGAGGCGGCGCTGCCCGACCACACGTCCCCAGACCAGAGCGAACACGCGCCAGGGCAAGGAAAGACACATTCAGCACCAAGGTTTGAGACCTTCAACATCCATCTTCTGCGGCACCAAGCAAGTTGTGATTATTTTGCCTTCCCCAGTTGCTAGGTCTCTCAGCTGCCAGAGTAATTACAAGGCAGGCAGCAGGACATACCTGCCTGGAATAAAATTAACTTCACTTTTTGTTTTTAAGCAAAAGGAATATAATTATGTTACTACCTGTAGTGAGAAATTATAGGTCAGTTCTGCTAACAAGTATATGAGATGCACAGGGGGGTATCTGCACACTTACAAAGCTGACAGAGTGTTTTGGTGATTCAGAGGCCTTCCAACCATGAAGACATTTAAGTATGGAAGTGTTCATGCCTGACTAACAGGGTTAGGAAAAAGCCAGAATCTGTTTGCTAAATTTCCTCCACCAGCTCTGTAAGAGTGCCGAACTATCCATTCCTTTCCTACAGTGTTTTCCAGGCCATGTTCAAGCATCCGTTCACACAAGAGTTAAACTGTAAACCCAAAGACATTCAGGAAGACTCGACGTTACAGATGCTTTTCCAGGCAAGCTGTACAGAAATGGAGAGCACTTCTATCACAGACTTCCATCACATTGTGTAGAGCTCCTTACACGTAACGCCAATTCCTTCAGCTTTGCTAGCTTATAGTAAGTCAGAGGGACATCCCTCCCAGTTCGAGGCGCGTTTTGAATTCACTGTTTTGACAAATGTTAGGATTCAGCACAAGGATAACTTATACAAACGGAAAGGGCCAACGGTAAGTAGCCTCGGGCCTTTCATGCTGTGCCAAACGCCTCACCCACCGCGGGTCCCAGAGCAGCGCCCTGACAGTTCTCCCTGCGACACCTCCCAGAGGACAGCAGAGGACAAGCTCACCTTCAGCCTCTTGAGCAACCACTGCATCAGGCCCTGCTGCGCGGCTTCCGTGCACATCTCCGGGCGGAACTCTGCCATGTTCTCGACGATTGCTGAGGAGACACAGAAAACAGAGGTTTTCCCACCTGCGCTTCAGCTCAGGCCTGTATCAGCACTGCTCTGCCAGGTCCTCCCTGGGGCTGCACTCCTCAAAGCTACATCTTATTCACAAAACTACCTTTGAGTGAGACAAGCTCAGGTGAACGATGCCCTCTCTGTTTTTACACTGCCCACACAGCCCATCCTCGGTGACGCCAGCTCCTGCTGGAAGAAGCCCAAGATCCTTCCCTTTACTCACTGCACAAAACTAAACTAACACCAGCAGCAGTAAACATTCCAAAACTCATGTTTCCAGTGTCTCTCATTCTTTCAGTCCTCAGGAGATCACAGTCCCGAAGGACCGAAAGGGGCAGAGGATGGTTTAGATGCTAATGACGGCGACAGGCTGGAAAGGTGCTGTGCAAAGACTGGGGAACAGAGAGGTAACGAGGGGCTACCTGAAATGCAGGTGTTCTACCACCTGCAAGTTAAATACATCGTAAGCCACAAAGAGCCCTCGGTGGGGTAAGCAGAGCTGCCAGGCAAGCGCGCAGGGAACTCGGGGGCAGCGGAGCTGCCGGTGCCCCGGGTCCCCCACCGCAGCGCTGGCAGCTCGCGGGGAGAGGAGGGCCCGAGGGGAGGGGAGGGACAGCCCACCCGCCTTCACAAAACACAGGAAGAAGCGAGAGGCTGTGCACAGGCACTTACCCAGCGTGTTGTGGACACCATCAGCTTCCTCCTTCACACTTTCATCCAGGCGCTCTAAATTCTGGACCAACAAGGCCACGACCTGGCCCTCCACCTAAATCACCGGGGTCATGGGAAAGATAAAAAGGTAAGAAAGAGGACTGAAAAAGGGAAGGTGGAGAAAGAACGGGCTGGTTAATAAATAAAAATCAATAAGCCCTACTGAAACACCCTGCCAGACATGATCAGAAGACGTTAACAATCTTGCTCTGAAATCTCAGAGGAAGCAAAGGAATCACCAAGTAAATCTGTCACTATTGTCCTAATTAATTAAACAACTTTTGTGGTTCAGATTAAACAGAAAAACATCTGGAGGAAAACATGCACCTTGTCACAGTCTTACTTCCTGAACGAGCCTGATTGATTTATAATCCCTCGGAATTCTGAAGTGCGAGGCACCACCAACCACCACGGATGGGCCAGCGCCCAGCTCTGCCAGCAGCTCCACGCGCAGCTGCTCCCTGCCCGTCTGCCCCCGCTCCTGGCACACCTTCCCCCTCAGGGCTGAAGGAGCTCACACACAGACACTAACCCAAATGCCTTGCGCTCTGCACCGAGCTGAGCTCAGCACGCTAACGAATCCAGACAAATCGAGGGCAGGAGCAGGTCCCACATCTGCAGCGGAGCCTCCCAACCAAAAAGCTAACGCAAGGAGCACTTCCAAAGCTGCCGTGGGACAGAGTCCAGCTTGACTTCGGCTAACTTTCCATTGTGGACAGGAGCTTGGAAAAGTTAAACAAAATAACATTTCCAATTCAAACACCGCTAACTAGCTTTGGGCTGAGGGAACACAGGAAAAAATACAAGTACCAGCTGCCGAGGAAGCGAGTGCAACTTCACACATACCTACATCATACCTACTTGCTTTGGGAAAAAAAAAAAAAAAGTAATCTAAAAAAGCAGACATCTAAACATATCTCTCAAGATATGCCTGACCTGTTTCTTTCAAAGAGGACAATAAAACCTCAAAAACTTGGCTATTATCAATGGGCTGGTGACAAGGAAAACAGAGAAAAAAAACCTTCACTTGATTTACTACCTCTCTGCACATTTTATAGAAAACATCTTCGCTAGCAGTTCCTCTCTACCATTTCGGTCATCCAGCAATCTTTCCACAAAGGCAGAGTAATTAAGAACAGCCCAGAGGCCAGCTGGAGGAAATCAGCTCTGGGCAACTGTCATTAACCTTTGGAAGGCAACATTATAGTGACTGGACAAGAAGGACTGTAGGAGAAAACAGAGCAGCCAAACAAAGCAAACAAAAGAAAACCCGTAATTCCACGTCTTTCAATCTCAACATAATAGTCACAGAACAAGACACAGCCACATCATTTCACAAACACAGCGATTCACCGGCAGAAGCTGCCAAAGGTAGAGAGACGTGGACATCTCAAGTTCTGGGCATCACTTCTCCAGGGGCTTCTGCTCGGCTCAGCATCCTCCTCCCATGGCCGAGGAGCGGCGGGCACCCAGCACAAGTGCCAGGGAAGGGGCAAGTCCAGCACCATGGAGGCCAAGAGGCACCCGAGGGAGTTAACCAGGCAGGGGGCACCTGAGACTGAGCAATGCATCTTCTGCTGCACGTAGGTATTTTTGTGGGGTTGTTTAATCTCTGCGCCAAAAAGGATCATCACCTCTAAACGCGCCTCTGCCCTTAAATGCATTAGCGCTGGTACATGGAAACTTTCAAGCTTTCACTCCTGGTTAAGAAAAATGCGTACCCTCACTATAACAACAGATCTTCCAGTTCATCAAACACAGACTTTGGGGTTGGAAACAAGAGTTACTGGGTAGAAGACTACTCATCTCCCATGTGAAAGGTCAGTCTGAAAGACCACAACAGCCTCCACTCCTCTTCAGAAAACAGTCTGAGCCCTGCCTCAAACATCAATTTTTCATGGATGAAATCACAAGTGTTACTTCATTCTCCCTCACTGCATGAAAAAATCTCCCAGCCTGCACAAATTTTGCAATACGAGCACGTTCCTTCCAAAAAGCACAACCTGGACTCACGGTGTGAGAAGACCCCACTCCCCAAGCTCTGACATGGCACGGCAAACACCCCCGGCAGCCCCCAGCGCCGCCCCAGGCAGAGGGAGGCTCCTGCCCGGGTGGCTGCGGTGGGCAGGGCGGTTCGGGGCGTGCTGCCGCCCTGCCTCAGGCAGACGTCGGGGCACGGACAGCACGGGGAGGCGGCTACTTACTAGAGCGTCTATGAGGACTTCAGCTCCTTCTTCACTCTCATGGAGAGTATCTATATCGGTCAGCTCTTGGAGCAAGTCCACCACGGCTATGGAAACATGTGCCAGGCGTTAAGGACAACCAACACGGAGACGGCCCACGTCAGGTCAGCAGCGGTCGGCTGAGGCCAGCGCGCGCACGGCGCGGCCCCAAGCAGCTGGGAGCACCCTGCAGCAGCGGGGCACAGACCCCCGGAGCCGAGGGCAGGCGCTGCTTCAGCAGAGTCTCATAAGCACCAAAGTCAGGGAATCCTAACAATTACACACGATAAAACCAAACGGGACTGCAGGCTTACTCTATCAGGCAGTTTTACTATTGCTTGACGTTACCTATTTTTTGATTTTTTTCAAATCAAAACTGCTAGAGCTGGTATAACGCGGCACCACCTTGCATCGTCCAGATTGAGTATCAGCTAAGAGAAATGAGTTATAATAATGTGATTTGGGCACTCTGCTCTCCGTGACACGCCGCTAACCCGACACGGCGCGCAGCTAACAAGGCGCTGCCGGACACGGGAGCCACCACCCGCTCCTGCCCGGCCCAATTAGGCCAGCATGCTCCTCTGACCGCGGGCCTCGCAGGAGCAGCGCAGCTTCTGCCAGCCCAATTTTCACTCATTAACTCCGGGCTGCATAACACAGGGTTCGCCCGGCTGCTACACGGCTCTCCTGCACGACGAGACGCATTCCAGCTCATTAGAGCCACTCTCCTATTCTCTCAGACATGCTGATCAATCTTGCCCCGGTCCCACCGGGGTAGAAAACTGCATGTCCTATATAACAACTTTGTGATGAATCTCTTTAAAATGCACAGGCTAACGATCCAGCCTCCCAGTTCCCCTGTTAGTGCATGTGCTCTCACACACCAGCAGCAGCACTTTCGTGTATTTTAGCGAGGTTTCAGTCCTGGCCTATGCGGTCTCAGGGAGGGCGGTCAGGGAGCTGCCTGTCCCCGCCCCGGGTTAAGCCACGTCTCAGCGCCACAGGTGTGTGTCACCAAGACCTTACCCTCTCCAGCACCCCTTCACCGAGCCAAAGCTGTCAGCACGCCCTCCTGATGGGCAGACAGCACCTCAGCCGGAGCCGCCGTCAGGAACCAGAGGGGTGGTTACTCCTCACCGTGCTCATACAAAAACACGCTCAAAGGCGCCAGGGTACAATTTTTAAAAGCGCGTTGGAGCACAACTCAATAAGCAAGTTAACAGAAAATAACGTGCCTTACATTTCTTCTGCAAGGAACCAAGTATTGATTAACAAAAGCTGGAGGAACGGGCCCACAGGAGCCTCCCGGAGTTCAACAAACGGGAAGCCCAGTACCTGGGAGGGAACAGGCGCGGGCACTGGAGACTGCTGCTACCCACGGGGTGCCGTGAAGACAAGGGAGCCAGACTTTTCTGAGAGAACAGAGCAGAGAGCCTGCAGCCAGAGGAGCTCATCTGGCAGGGCTCTCCTGTCTAGGGGCTTCTGTGGAGGCTGACAGTGAGAGTACCAGTTGTCCTATAAAATTCAGGAGATAGAAAAACCAAACCTCACTTGAAGCTTTCCTATCTTTCATTAATAAAATCTTGTCAGTGATCATCTTTCATTCACATTTTTTGTGTAAAACTGCCTGAATCTTTCAGCAGATTATTTGCTCCCCCTGGACATTGCTTTTGTCTCCTTGCATTGCTCCCTCAAGACACTACATTTAAATCACATCTGAAGAGCCATTTGTTTAGTTCCCTCCTTGAATAATTAATTTTAAAAATCTTTTTTCTCTTGTTTTAACAAAAAGTCATTAGCAAACTTGAGCTATACCAATTGAGTTTTATGCCCACATGCCTGACACCAGCAGCAGCCCAATGAAGAGGCATTACTACAGCCCGTGTCCTCTTCTAACGGGTCTGAAAACACTTCAGCAGTTTTATAACAAGAAATATACTTTTCCCAAAATTGCAATTCACAGGCCAAATTTCTACCCGCAGACTAACTGGCAGGCAAGCTGCAAACCAATTAAAAAGAGTTCACAGTGGAAATGCTGACAAGTCTCTGACAGCAGCAGTGACCCCAGGACACAGCTTTCACGGCTGAAAGGACAAAGCAAACTCTATTCCTGCACGCTCCAGCTACAAATCAGCTCTGCTATCCCGGGCAGAATCCCCATAGCTTGTATTTTCCCTGTGAATGAGAAATTCAGCAGAAGCCTTTAACGCCATGCACACAGCACACAAAAAGCCTGTGGTGTCTGGCAAAACAAAAAAAAAAAAAGTCATGAAACTATGGTGGCCATGACACCGCTCATACGTGGTAGGTGGCTCCCACCGGACAACAGTAAATTGTTAACAAACACTTATTGAGAGCAACTTCCATTTCAGGTCCCAGCTAAGGGGAGCTGCGGTGTTCACTGCTCCGCAGGGCCCAGCACTCACCACACCAAGGTTCAGCCAGACACGAGTCACAATACCCAAAGATGTAAGCAGCGCTTTCTAACATGAACTGGTACACAATCAAATACCCATGTTTTGGTTTTATCTGCTTGTTTTGTTTTTATCACTGCACCCACTTAGAAAGAGTGAATTATGATTTCTTAACACATAGTACTATAAGGGAAAGTGCTTAAAAGAGAACCGAGATCTGTGCAGCTGACCACAACGTTTAGCGCTAACAGTCCTTTTAACACTGCGTATTTCAAAACGCCTCAGAAGAGCTGGTAAGTATCATCTACTTCTTTACATATAAAGGAAAGAAGGAAAGAATAAATTCCTTTCGTAAGGTCATGAATCAGTAAAAAGGAAAAAGAAAAGCCTGCTGTGGTCCCAAGTAAGACCAGTGCCCTTTCCACTGGGCTCCACTGCTCCCTCCATTCACTAATGTTTGCCAGGACACAGACACACACACGATCTCTCAAATCATGTCACAATTTTTCAGCTTAATCTACTGTAGAATATTTACAAGCAGTGCAGGCTGAGCTCTGCTGTTAAAGGCTACACAATGGTAAGCCAGGCGTAGTTCTATTTATCAGCTGATGGCTAAGCATCACAGCACCAGGGTATTAAAAAAACGACACTGTTTTTGTTCAAAACTACCAAAAGCTTTAACAATATAGACAGAAAACTCTCTCTGAGATGTCTTCAGAGAACAAGAGACAGATGCACACAGAGATCAGATTCAGTGACACAAGAACTAACTGAGCATGGATAAGTCTCTGGGTATTTACAGAACCAGAGGGGCTACCCACAGCCTCGGGCTCTGAGCACACCCAGTTAAAGGTGTGGACACGTGAAGGATTTATCACACTGTGGTGAGCGAGTCTATGGCAAGTAGCTGAAAGCACGACAGCTCAGCTCCCAACCAAAAGGGGTAAATTGGTTTCATTTTTACTGGGGGCTGTTCCAAAGTCTGCACGCAGTTCAAGGCTACGTGCTGCTAAGCCCACACCAGGGCTTGTCCCGTGCTGTTCCCCTGTGCACACTCTAACACAGCCACTCAAAGTGAGATGAAAGGGTCACAAAACAAGAAAGGAGAATAACAGCACTGAAAAAAATCAGAATCAATATTACGTGAACAAAGGAGGTTTTCACTTGGACACAGACATATATTCAGTGCGGTGGGAAAGAAGAGAAAAACATATATATGAGCCTGTGAAAGCAGGAAGTCTGCAGAGAGCCTCTCGCCGAGAGCTGCTTTCCCCGCCGAAGGATATCGGTGTTGTCGTGGCCCAGCAGCCCCAGGAGGGACTGCACGGCGTTCAGCTCCACCAGCAGGTGGTACAGGTCTGGCATGGTGGCGATCACGTGCATCTCCTGAATGATGTCATTCAGATCCAGTTCCGACTCCATGAACCTGCCGCAAGACAAAAGCGGTAACAAAAGGGCAAAAAGTCCATCAGTCGTGTTCGGAGCAGAGCCCTTTCAAACCAGGGGCCAGCACCTCGCGGGAGGCGCCAGGGAAGATGCGTCACCGCGGCGGCGGGGCCGGGCCCCCACCTCCTCCCGGCACCCTGGGCCCCAGCCCGGCGGCGGCGAAGCTTCCTACTGCACAATTTACATAGAGTAAATAAGCAGATTTGTTCCTATTCTGTAAATCAGTTCTAGAACCTCGGTTAAAAAATAATTTTAAAAATTCAAGAGGTTGTGGCTACACAGAAAAACCCTGCACATAAACAGTTCCCCAGAGCGAGGCACCTTCCCTTGCTACCACACAGGCCGTGGGTTCTATCAGCCTGGAGTGCAGTCCAGAAAAGAATTTGTGTGAGGGAAACAACAGCAAACTGGACAAAAAATAATGGCACTCAAGTGGGGGAAGAAATACGGTGAAAAATAAAACTCCATGGAAGGCAGCAGAGGCCCCCCAGAGCCGCAGGCGTGGAGGAGCACACACACAGCCTGCCTCCAGACACCCCAGCATCCAAACCTCCACAACATGAAATTATTTTCTTCCCACACAGCCCGCCGACTGCACACGCAAGCACAACGCCTTCCCACAAAACGATGGCAGGAAATCTTTAATTATTTGGAAAGCAAAACTCACTAATCCAGGATCTCGATCTCTCAGGCCACCCCACACACCCCCCGCACCTGCCGGTCAGTGAGGAAGAGGCCGGCGCAGAGGAGCCGCCCCCCAAAGCTGAGCGAGCTGCGGCGGGGCTGACGACCCCCGGTGATGCTGGGAGAGCTCCTTAGCTTCTGCCCTCGATTTTCTCTGGTTTTCTCTCTCTGAGAACCGAGCCACTTACTCAGATACCGAAACTAAAAAAACTTCACTGAACTTGTGTGTTCCCAAAATAAAACAATGCCTGAAGTTTCACAATCTAGAATATCGACAACAGCAAGAATTTAATAAACCAGAACTTTGCCCTTCATTGCTAATTATTCTTTTCATGCTGCCAGTCATATACCGGCCACCACCAGAGTCTCGGTAACGCTGGTTTTCATTAACAAAGTTAGTTTCAAATACAATTTAGAAGAACTACATGGCAATAACTGCTGTTACACAAGCCTCAGGTAACCAAAACCATCTCTATATTCAAGAAATTGATTTAGGGCTGAAACCCAAAACCAAAAATAAAAAAGATAACAGAGAGGGACCGAGCATAATCTTACTTCTCTGGATTGTCAGGAAACTTGATCCGCAGCTCCTGGTTTTTGTAAGATCTCTTCTCAAAGGTGAGAATCATCTTCTTCACTGAACTTTCATCCAAAGGTTCCTCCTAACCGAATCAAAAGGGCAGAAAACAGAGGTTTGGATGGTTGGAACAGTCAGCCGGCAAACGGGACAGAGCGTGCACAGCAAGGCGGGGGCGCGGGGCCGGCCGCGGGGCAGGAGCGCAGCCCCGGCAGAGACCTGCCCCGGCACCGGCACTCCACGGCCACCCTTGAGTGATTCGCCCCGGCTCTGCCCCGAGCGAGCTCCCCAGAGCAAAACCTTCAGACGGGAGATTTTACAAACCGGGGGTTTCCCAATGGAAGGTTCTTTGGGAAAGAACCAGAAGAGCTTCCCTACGCTTTCCAAAACCGAGTATCAATGAAAACCCATCAGTCGTGCTGCGGCCCGGCCTCCCCAAGCTGTTCCCGTACGCCTGTTACTGCCCGGCACCGCCAGCGCGTTGAGGCTTTTTGCCTCTGACACGTTAATCTGCGTCGGCAGTTCACGGTCAGGAAGAGTTTCTTTTCCAAAGTTCATTGTGCTATTTCGTTTTGTAGTCTCCATATAACTGCCCTGAGCTTATCTTCTTTTGTATTTTCCTCACTTGGATAAGCTTTCACTTCTATTTTAAAGTCTTTTTCTAAAGAAAAAAATAATCAATATTTTACTCCAGTTTCTTCCAAGGTGTTTCTCAGTTGGCACTGTACTATGACCGTACAACAGTACAGTAACTTCAGTTACCTCCCGGACACCTACAAACACGATTCCATTATTTTCCTTGTTTCACAATTTTAGGGCACAATAAAACACTGATGTAGATTTTCTCGTGTAACCTCTTCCCTCTCCTCTGTTAGATGACGTTACAATCACCATTAAAGAGAAATCCTCAAAACGAAAAAGCAACCAGACCCCTTCACGTCTTAAGCCAAGTTCTGTGTCCCATCCCCTGTGCAGGATTAAATCAAGAGTTGCTTCTGGTGGTGAAGACTCTTTGGTTAACGACTCTAAGCAGCAATCCTGTACGAGAGAGAAAATTTCTATTTCTTCAGCAAACTCCATTACAACGATATCACCAGTCCAGTCTTTGGTTATTACTGGATTTCCAACACGCTCAGGCCTGACCTGTCTCAGCACTGCCCCTCTCGTGTCACCACCCCATTCAGTAATTGGCCCAAACCAGATTCCTCCTGCAACGGGCCTTCAATCCACACCGCCACACATGCTGGCGCTGCCTCCCTCTATTTCATTTGATTGTTTGCTTTCTCTAACACATCTCACTGCAATTTCTCCATTGGATTCGGCTCTCTATCTTGTATTTAATTTGCATTCAGTATTAGAGCGTCCTACAGATTTGCTTCCTTCCATCACATTTGCTGGTACAAAGCCCGTTTTGATGGCACTTACACGAACTGCATTCCAGGATAATAAACAAGACATTTTGGCTCTAAAGAAACCTTGGACTTCCAGCCCTTAAAATGTCTGGATGGGAGAACTCCACTTGACAAAAACGAGGGACTTGTACGCTGCAGGAATCCACAAGACTCCAGGCAGTCAAGAGGCCTTTGGCTGCGTCCATTCGTCCTCCCTGGAGCTCAAATGCTACAGAAATCCTGCGTTATCTTTCTCTGCTATCAGCAACAACCGCAATGACAATAGCTCAACATCAAAAAACTGAGGGAGATTTTCAGGGACGAACGCTAGCAATGCCGTATACAAAGGACAATGATATTTTACAAAGCTACATGATTCTGCAGTGGTGAATATCACTTGTTTTTTTATCAAACAGGACACAAGCAGCAGGAAGCAAATATCTTCTAGATTTATACCAATCCATGTGTCACATTTATAAAGTGATCTTTTCCCTGGCCCTTGGCAGAAAGGCCAATGCTGCATTGGATTTCTGTCTCCAAGGCTTGAAATCATTTACCCTTGACAGCTGCTACCCCCCTCCTCTGACCCCAGCCCTTTCTCCTATAGAAGAATGTTTGTTTATTTGCTGCTGCTGCTGCACAGCTACAAAGAGGGGGAGAGTGGGAGAAGCTGCACGGCTGGGGGTAGTGATGAGAACAATAGAGCTAGGAAACCGCTCAGAACACAGAAGCTATTTCCTAAAAATGTACTTTAGAAGGTGATTTGGGTGTTCCCAGCCTAAAACGAAGATTAGGCTTGAAAGCTTTCCCTTCTCCCTCCCCTTTGCCCCCCTCCCGCCCCCTTTAAACCTCCCGAGGGTACCTCTGAGAAGCCCCGTTTGAAATGACTGAATCCCCCCTCCGGGCAGGAAAGTAAAACCACAACCTTCAGCTGTACAAATCACCCAGCGGCCTCATCAGCTACACGGTGAGAAATGGAAATCACAGAGAAGTGATATAGCGTTTGCTTATTTCCCACTGCCTCCCCTTTCCCACAGGACACTAGTGATTTACTTCCTCCTCTTCCTCTTCTCCATCCCTCTCAATTATCTGAAGAAGTTTCTTCTTCTCGTCATCAGTTTCTTCCAGCGCAGCAGCCTCCTCTTCCCTGTGACGACTGTGCTCTCGTGCACTGGCTTGTTTCCGACGTGCTTTGATTTCTTCTTCCTCCTCATCGCGGGGTCTTTTTGTCCCTCGGTTAGGCTAGAGTCAGAGAAATAAGGTGAGTGAATACAAGCCTTCTGTGATCCTGGCAAACCAGAATACCAATATGACAAGGCATACTGAGGAAATTCTTACAACTTGTTTAAAACATTTGCTTACACAACGCTTAACAACTCCGAAAACTGGAAAGGAAATTAATTTAGTGAAGTGGAACATCACATGAGTAGATGAATGGCTCTGCCAAGAGCTATGTCAACATCCTACCTTGTTTGATCTATGAACACAATTCACAGGAAAATATCCCCAGAGGCGGCGCAGGCTGGTGTTGCAAAGAGAAGAAGTGGCCGGAGCGAAGCGCTCGGCAGCCGGACAGCACCCCCGCCCCGGCCCGGCACAAGCTACCCCAGCCGAGACAGCATCAGCTTTTACAGGCAGAAGACCGACAGGCTCAAGCAGGGAACAGCGAAAGATCATTTTTTACCCACCTGGTATAGGAGGTTGTATCGAATTCCTGTGTGCATCCCAACTCACCGTGACTCCCCCCACCCTCTGTCCAAGGTTTGCCGACACCTGCACGCGGGCTCAGCCCAGTTCAGAGCAGGAGGGCAGGGGCAGGGCTGCCCGCTGCCATGCTGCAGGGACTTGGCACCAGATGAAGCCGTGCCCAGACCTTTATCGTTCACTCAGAACAGCCTATTGTTTTATTCCACAGTTCCTATGTAATTATCAAAATTAAAGGTAATTTGCCAGGCACAAGAAAGAGTTCATTAACCCTAATCCCATGTTTTAATTTAGGCAAAAAGGGTTGAAAGAATTTGCAGAAGAAGGAAAAACCCTCTCCCTTCAAAAACCACAAGGATATGAAATTTGGTCTCCCCTATTTTTTGGAAGGACAACCATGCTGGGAGTGCTGGAGCACTCCACGCTCTGTAACTACAGGAACACAAAGCTTAATTCTTTACTCTTTAAAAGGAGCCCGTGTGTTTAGAACAATGAAAACAATAAGAAAATATTTTTACTTTCTATCACCGCTCAAGTTGCCTAATAGATGATTTTGTAACACCATTAGGTCTAACATCTGTCCAGCCCGTGTCATAAAACATTATCCGGCAGGAGGACCCACTCCTCTGCTCTGTGGGACCCTCTGTCTGAAATCAGAGAAGGCCCACCGTGATTTCTGGAACACAAGCCTTGCTTTTTAACTGAGATTCGGGTCCTTGGGTCTGATTCAAAGCAGGGTGCAGAGGAATAGGCGACAGTGCCATTCTCCTGCCAGGTCCAGCACGAGTGCGGGCGTCAAGGTGGGAACTTCCAGCTCCGCGGCAGGTTGGGAACTTTTGAGCCCCAGGTAATAAATCTTCCAGGCTCATAAGGCAATCCTGCTGCGATTCCGATGAGCACGCTGCAGACCCCAGCATGCTCTGCACAACCCAGAGAGACTGATGTATTTATTTTTCACTACAAATGAAAAGCTAGCAAATGGAAGCTCTGCTCTCAAGCAAACTCTGCTTTCAGAACAGAAAACAAAAACCAAAACCCAAACAAGATCCCCCTGAAATCTCTTAAAGCATTACCTATAACGAGCAGCAGACGGGCCAGCAGAGCGACCGAGATCACGGTGCTTTCGGGGTTACCGTGTCGTCACCACGCTGAGGAAGATGCAGAAATCAAGCTTCCCAGCCAACACATTAGCACAAATCAAAGCTCAAGAAGCTCCCAGGCAGACCTATTCAAAGCCTGTTATCTATCTCCTTCCTCCCTCCATCTCCTCTGCTGTTTCCATTACGGATGGTACACTCCTGACTTAAAACCCTTCTAAAGTGCTCCCGTGCACTTTTAAAGCCGTTACTCAGCTCATAATTCAGTAGCTGTGAAGCAGAAGCAGACCTGGAGATTCTCTGAAATGAAAAATGTATTTGCTTGGAGGGTTTGGGGCGTTGGTTTGGGGTTTTTTTTTGGTTAATGGGGTGTTTTTAAAGGAGATTCCTATTAATTATCCTCCAGGTACACTAAAATACAATGTCACATAGATCCATTTGGAAACAAATGTGTTATAGTCAACAACCACTAATTCAAACCCTCCCCAAGCAATCAGAAACCCAATAAAGAAAAGAAAAAGAAAAAAAGATGCTCTTCCAAATGATATCATCTAAGGAAAAAACTTTGGTAAATACATATTCCTTACTCAGCGCCCTTAATGGCTCACAGGTCTCTGTCCTTCCTACGCCCTTCCTCTCACTCCTCAGTAATACCCAACTCACCATAAACCACCTCTGACAGGCTACAATTACACACACAGACATAGAAATTAGTGACACAGTAAGTCCTGAAATTACAGCAAAAAGCCCCGCAAGATTTGCCTTGGATGTTCCTGATTTGGGGAGTCAGAATCTCATTCCTTGCTCTCATTTCTAAACATTAAGAAAGGAACAAAACCCTCCGTGAGACTGCAGCTGTAATGAGGGACCAAGGGAGCTGGTGGTTTGTCAGATGCAAAGTAATGTACCATGGGAAGGGACTATATCACCAGAACAAAATCTAAATTAAAACTCCATCATGAAACCAACCCCATTTCCTCTGAGTACACAATCCTTAGTATCAGAATTTACACCCTGTTTCAATCTCAATTATTTTATCCTTTTTGTAGTTATGCATTGTTGGGGGGGAAGAATCTTCTATAATACATAACAGAAATCATTATGATAAATTATGGAAGTGCCCCGCGTGCAATTATTAATGCTGCCAACATATTGGCAATAGACAGTAATTGAATTCCCGGGGAAACGCTATTAAGCAGGCATTAAGGTTTTTCCTTTTGTTATTGATGTTATGCAAAACCTTCCTCAGAATATTGCAGTTTTCCAACCAGCACTATTAAAACTAAGAAATCAAGGCATAAGTGAAACACCTGGGTTTCTGCTCATTGCACAAGAGATGCACGGTCAGAAACGACAGATTTAAGGCAAGAATTAGTTTCTGTTCATCGGTTTTCATCTCGGGTTTGCGTTTGTGTTTCCTGAAGGACTGTTACCAACCAACAAGAATTAAGCACACACACATTGTTGCACTGAGACCGGGGCATTTTGCTAAGCAAACATACATTGCGTCTAAACACGCTTATTTAAATAATTTTGTAGCTTCACACACATCTACACAAGTTTTTGCCTTTCTGGTAGAAAAGGGAAAGTTAATCATTTGATAAATAAAATGCGGGGATTTTTTATTCGGTTGTGCTAAGGTGCATTTGGCAAGAAGATGGAATTCATTAGAAAAACGCACAAGAAAAGCATTTTTAAATTGTTTTGTTAGTTAAGCTTAATTTTGTTCCTGTTGAACGCGATGCATTCACAGTAATTTATTCAGAAGACGTTTTCATTTAAATCTAACACTGATATCACCACACAAAAAAACAATGAACACAAAAGGGTTTAAAAAAAGCCAACACTGATAAAATACAATAAAGTAAACAAAAGCTGGTGACTGGTAAAGGGAGAATTATCTTTCTGTTTCTCTTCTAGTCTCCAGCAGCACTCGCTCAGGAGGGGAACGGGCGCGTCCCAGGCTGTCAGAGCCCGGGCGGGGGCCTGGGGTGCGGCGCGCTGGGGAGCACCCACCGGGCGCCTCCGCAGGGAGAGGAACCACCCCTCAACCAGGGACGAGGGTCTGCCCAGGGCCCCTGCCCGGTCTCCCTCAAAGCACATTAATTCCAGGATTAAGTAGAAGCTGAAAACACAATGCTTAGGCCCCTGACTGCATCCAGCCTTCTCCAAACGTCAGGAAGGTTTAGAGAAGTCTCAGTAACGGAGTTTCATGTTACTAAGACATCTGCTTGGAAGGTAACCTTGTTACTATGAAGCTCAGAAATTATTTGTTAATGAAATCTGAAACAAATCTTCCTAAGTGATGCAGCTTCGCTTGTGACCACATCTCAGCCGGCTGCAGCCTGCTCAAGAGCCCCTGCAGAAAGCTACCCATGAGCTGTCCTTTTCGGACTCCTGAGAGCAAGCCCCAAACCTCCAGAGGTATCTTCAATAACCTCATTTTGTTTCCAACATTCGTGATAAATCAGGCTGCTATCAATCTTGCTTTTCATTGGTTTTTCTTCCTGAAGACGACAGTGCAGGATCTCAGTGTTAAAAACTGGAAGAACTGGTACCAGGTACCAGTACCTGCTCTTCCTGGTACCAGGGAAATCCAGACATCTCAGAAGTCCCAAGACATCCAAAATCGCACAAACTGAGGCAAACAAAAGGGAACATGTGCACTGCACCCACACGGACTTCAGAGAGAATGAAGCCCGGTCCTCTCCAGACTCACTCCTTGGGCTCCACACCGCCCCAAGGAGCGCGGCGCAGGGCAGGGCCCTGCCCTGACAGACTTTGACACGTGCTCCGCTGTGGTGGCCAAAGACAACGCGTCAAGAAATAAAGATTCGCTTGCAACCCCGTCAGCGCACGGACACCGGACCCGCAGGGGGCCCGTGCTGCCCAGGAGCAGAGCCCGGCAGTGCCGCGGGCCAGCGGCCGAGACCGTGACGGCCCCTCGGTTTAACCCGCCGCAGGACAAGAGCTGCAAGTCGTCAACAGCCCGCTGGGCTGAGCTGCCTCTGCCATCAGGTGCAGCCGTTACACCGCGAATTTACGGTAAATTATCTACACCAGCAGCAGAAATTATGATGAGCCGTCACTGAGAGGCAGAGATCCATCCCGCTCCAAACTCAGCCCACTCCAAACAGCGATCGCCCGGCCCAGTGACATCAGGCCTTAGCCCATTATTTACTGCTTCTTTTGTTATTTGATTTTACTAATACTTCATTAAAAAATTAGCGATTTGCAATGATCACTCGCAGTGGTGAAATGTGCATTTAATGAGAATTAAAACAATCTCGCTTGTTCCCTCGCAGGACAACTGGAAGCGATCCCTGCTCAGGAGCGGAGCTGGCTCTGTCCCCTCAATTACGCTCCATAATCGGAGACCAGGCACAGAGGATCTGGGCACAGTCTTTCTCGGCAGAACAGCAGCAATATTTAATCATCGGTTTAGACCATCTGCAACTGTTTTGCAGCAACACATAAAGTTTATGGATTCCTGAGCTTTGTATAAACTGCCAGGTGCTGTTTAATTGTATTTTTTTTGCAAAAGGTTCCTTTTCCCCACTCTGGCAGACACTTGGTGCTGAACTGGTGGCACAGCGCCTGAAATCTTCTGTGCCAAGTTTGTCACTGAGGGAGAACATCTTGATTAAGCAAGGGCACAGATTAGGCATTTAGAGGAGACAAATTCAAAACAGTGTAAGAGAAAAACAATTATTTTGGGTCGTGCCAAGGGGAGCTGAGAAGACTGACTCGTTTGCAGCAAGGGATTAAAATCCGACAGCTGAGGCGCGCACCACCCACCACCCAGCCCACCCATCTGACAGCCGGTGCCACCCCTGCACCAAGTGGGAACAAGGAGATCTTGAGCCAGCCCACTGCTCAGCCCCGCGCAGGAAAGGCCCCGACCCGCGCTCCACCCGACAGAAAAGTGGAGCAGGTCAGGAGCTGTCGAAGGAGCCACCGCGCCGCCTCCCGCCAGCAGCAGCAACGCTCGCTTCATTTCCCTGCCACGCACAGGGCAGCCTCCTCTCGGTGGCAACAGAAGTCTGACTGCTCTGAAGTTCAGCGGACAAGAACGTACATTTCTAAAAACAAGACAGGAGGGCACTGGCTTCGCTGCCTCTGAGAGCCACGGCAGGCGCCTGACCCACGCAGGAAGGGAGGCAGCAAAACCTGTTGTTTCCAACTCCTTTTTCTATCTTTCAGCCAGAAACCCCCTCACAGAAGGGAATCTCGTTTTCTCAGACTCAGAGTGATTGATCTGCCTTCTGCTCCTCCACCCGTTTCACCTGTATTCACCCCTTTACCCAATTCTGGAGCTCTGAACTGGGCGACGCTGAAACCCAACACCTTCCTCTGCAGCGTTATCTCACCCGCTGACACGGGACCGTCCACGTTCACCTGAGAGACCAGGAGAGCCAGAGCCAGGACAAACCCTTCAGGAACAATTCCAGCAGTTGGTTGAAAGCTGCAGAATGTTTTGTCCCGCAGCTAAGAATAATTTCAGCAGCAAGAAACTAAATTAAAATAGAAATACCCAGCAGCTAAGCAGCATTTCTTCACCTCTAGCCCCCGGAGAATACAGCCCCACGTTGCCATAAGCAGTCACCCACAGCGCCGCGTTGAAAGTGCATCCTGGAGAGCCGCACAGAATCACAGCGACCAACGCAAGGGGATGCGCGCTTTCCTCCAGAGCCAAAGGCAGTCCTGCAGACTTCGTATTTTCAGAGCCAAAGACCCAGTCTAAAACCTCGTTAAAAACCTACAGCAAACAGAAGCTCACCACAGATTTACCTTTCTACGCCTTAGGTGTAAATCACGCCACAGAACAAGTACAGGACGTCATTAACTGTAACTGCGGTGGAGGAGACCAAAGAATTAAAGGAACATGAGAAATGATCATTCTAATTTGATACTGAAAAATCACAGAGAAATGGTAGGTAGAGAAATACAAAATTAGGGCAGATCTCGGACATAGGACTATGCTGCCAGTGCCACACGAAGGGGTGAAGCAGGAAAGATGTCAGAGACAGAGCGATCCACTGAAGGAAACGTCCTGGAGCTGAATCAAGGAGTCGTCTAGTGAAGTTCTCAAAGCCTGTTCTTACAGCCATGCTCCAGGGTATTTTATACCACTGGGAAAAGATGGGAAATTTCTCAAACCCTGGGGTAACTTTCCCTCTTTCCCTGTGCATCTCAAAATAACACATTCTGAAACACAGACACGTCCTGAACAGTGGGACATTCTTCTCACCTCAGCAGAGCAGGAGGGCACGCGGGACTGCGTCCCACAGAGATCCTGGGCCATGAATTAAGAAGCAGATCTAGTCACGTAACTCCCCCACTCAATCGCTTACAAGGTGGGCCATGTCTTAGAGTCCTTTTCTTACTCACCGTATCAGCAGGGAAAAGCCACCATTTCAGTTTATCCAAGAATTAAAGTACAAGCGAACACTACCCTGTGCACAAATCGCAGCAAAAGTATCAAAACACCGTTGTAAATCAGCGCTCCCGATCCACAGGGGAACAGGCTAAATCCACTCCTGTGACAACAAACAAGCAGTTTACCCCACCTGGTTCTAAACTGCCCCCAAACA